CGCCACTTTTTTTTTTTTTTTTTTTTTGAGACAGGGTCTCACTAATTTGTTATGGCTCCCAGGTTGGGCTTGAACAATCCTCTTGCCTCAGCCTCCCAGAGTGCTGGGATTACAGATGCACATCACCACGCCCAACTACAAGTTTAAGAACCAATGTGTGATTTGTCACCATAGTTCCCTGTGTCATGGTCCAGACGGTGCTGCTATTAGCCCAGTCCTGAATGAGGATGACATGGTAAAGAGCTTCCAGACAACTAGAAATGACCATGTGGCATGGACACTATATAAAGCCCTCAAAGGTGAAGCCCGTGAGATTTGGGAGTTGTCATTGCAGCATAGGCTAGCAAACACTGATTGATACACCAGGGTTCAATTAATACCCTCACACCACTGAAGCTCTTAACCCTTTCTGAGGTTCTATATCTAACATACATCAATCTATCATATATATATATTCCATATATCTGTCATCCATATTTATACAGTGGTACCTCAATTTGTTCTAGGATTTTGGAAAAGATGTATTTGTGTGGAAAAGATGACTACAGTCATGTTTGTCACCTGATGCAGAGTTTGCAAACAGAAACAAAATTTTGCCAAATGCTTGTTTGCAAACAAAAGCGTATCATGAACTGAGGTACCACTGTGTATAATTTACTTGTATAGTTCTATTCACCTATCTATATTTCTATACATACAGTGATTGAAAAAAAGGAGAAAGATCATAAACCTATATGCAGCCCAAATCAGTTGCAGGCTTTAAGAGTCTTGCATTGAGATCAATCTGAGTGTAAAAACACGGTCCTGTACTTCCTTTCCACGGTATAACCCACAAAACTCAAAACATACCCCCAAAGCTTCTTCATCCAGCCAACCTAAAAAGGGGCCTTTGTTAGATGGAGTCTTGTCCTTGTGTTAGAAATGACCCAGCATTATTCATTCCCCACAGGAAACAAGTGATGGACCCAACTGACTACTTTCCAGAAGAGTTTGTCAAGTTGAACATTTATAGAGATCTGCCTTGGGAAAGTGCGGTACTCCATGGTCAGCCCCACAGTGTCGCTGCCACCCCTGTGCCTGAAAGGGCCAGTGGAAGGAGGGGCTGCCAGAACCCAGAGAGGGAAGAGCACCTTCTAAAGATCCATGGTCCCCAGTCTCAGAGTCAGCTGCGGTCCTCAGGCACAGAGCAGGTAGAGAGGGTAGATCTGAAGCACATCTGGAGCCATTGCACAGCCCTTCACAATGCTTCTGCACAATGCTTAGGCTGCCATATTTGCAGCTTGTTCTAATCCAAGAAATGGGGCACCTGTGAAAGCCATCTGCAGCTTTGATTACAGCTGCCTTTGTGAGTCTAGCAAGGAAATCTGTTCTGCAGCCAGGCACTTGGACACTCACCAGAGAGTAGAAGGCCACAGAGAAGGTCCCCCTTTAATATTCTGCCACGTTCTCATGGTTTGGGGGGAAGCTATCACCAAGAAGACCATTTTGTCTGAACTAGTAATGCAAATCTAAGACACACCAACAAATCCATGTTCTTTAATGAAACCATCCTTTCTACACAGACAGGTGTTAGCTCCTCTCCATGTTCTCTTTGAAACCAGTATTCCATGCAATGTAAAACTATACAAAATAAAAAATACCCACATATTTATAGATAATACTTTAAAAATTTTTTTAAAGAAAGCTTTCAGGCATTTGGGATCATTGTTGAATTTCAGTCTACACAAGAAACTTTAAAAACACCTGAAGAAGCCAAAGAAATACTTGTTCCCAAACTGAATGCTAACAATACCAAGGATTATCTGAGAGTTAACAAATGCACCAGATAGATGGTAACTTCCCATGTGAATATGCTAGTTAACTATATTTGACAAATTATTTAAATGGGCTTTGCAATTTCTAAATGCCTGGTACTTTAGAGGGAAATAATGAAAGAGAAATAGAGGGCAACGCTAGAGGAAAATAATGCATTAATGTATAGGCTCACCTCCTCTGTTTGGAGAAATTCTACTGACTAACGGTAATTCCAGACCATAGCCCTGTCCTAGGATGCAGCTTCTACTATTTCAGAATACACCAGAATGAGACTGTTCTGGACACCCAGACCCAAAAGACTTCATCCGGTCATTTATTCCAAGATAATTTTCTAGTCTTGGAGATCCCAAGCCCCGACACTCAGTTAAAGGACAAAGCAAGCCGGAGGACTGTCCTCTGGCTCCTTCATCCTCATCCAGGGATGTCTGCAGGCAAGGCACCAAGCCACTGGAAGAGCCAAGGCCGGGCTCGGTCTTTCTGCTCAGTGGATTTTCTCTTACAAAGCCAGCCGGCGGCTCTCTGTAGGACCTGAGGCATGCACAGACCCATATATATTCTGGCTTCCAGAGAAGAGGCCTAGCCAGCCCCAGATGAATCAGAGTTTGTCTTTTAGGAATACACCACTCACGGAACTGAATAAATGTTTTCATATGGGTCCCATTGTTGCAAATTGGCCATGTGGAGACAACTGTTGAAGCTGCGTGCTTTTGAAAGTGATCATAATAAAGAGAAGAAAGAAACATTAGTGCACCACGAGGGTGACAAATGCTGAAACCAACACTGTTTTTCCCTCCTTCCCATTTCTCCATGGAATTTGCTAATCTTACTTAGACTTCTAAAGGTTAAATATACAGCATTTTCATCTCCTTGGAGAGAAACCCTTAACAGCCACATTACACATCCAAATTTCTGTGTCAGTTTTGACACTGTGGGACAAAATAAAACCTCCAAAAACACAGAGTTCAGAGAAGCGGAATACACCATAACAGGCGAGTGGGATCCGAGCCACAAGGTAACCTGTTCCATTTATCATGACAAAGTTCACCCTGGGCAGGCTCTGCCATCTATTAAGATATGAGAATGAAATCTGAACCTCAGCCTAGGGCTAAGAAAGGCCAGAGGGGAGCTTGGTGAAAGCAGAAGCATGAAGAGTAAGGGTCAGGACCAGAGGCCTACACAATAAAGCTACAGCCAGTGGTTAGCGTTTTTCACATGGTATTGATTAAGGCTTTGACAGCTGATCTTTTACATACATACATATATACAGACATATATTATTAATAATACTTTGCTCTTTTTAAGGAAAAATATTCCTATGCATTCCTTTTACTCTTCTTTGTATTATTTTAGTTTTTAGTCCTAGCAATCGTTTTAATTGGACAAAGTCTTCTGGTGTTGTATTCTGATATTTAAAAAATATAACCTTTAGCCATTTACAAATATTTTGTTGAAAATTATGGTCTGTCCCAAAGAAATTTTGGTGCTTGAGATCCATCTTGGCTTTAATTGGAAACACTCTCACGTGCTGCCCTGTGTTCGATACCAACAAAACAGGACTTATGGTTATGTAAACATTATTTTAAAATTATTCCGACATAAATACTCTTTAAAGCTAAACATACCACAGCTTTTAGCTCATAATGCCCATAGATGCCTTAATGAAATGCCATTCAAAACTACCTCACTGTTTAAATTATACCTTGAGGTACTAAAATTATGTAAACATCATCCTCTACACTTCTCTAGAACAAGTGCCAAGGGCTGTGAATTCTGATTGCAAGTTGGTGACCGAGTATTAGTTAATCTAAACAAAGTTACCAATGTACTCTTTAACCTGTTTGATTACAGGGAATTAGTCATAGATTGACTTGTTCCACAAGGTGATGATTCTTACATAACTTAGAAGTAAAGTTTTCAACAGTGTTCACCCCCACAAGGGAGCTGACTGGCTGGACCCTTGTGAGAGGTCTTTGCACAGCTCACAGGTGCAGTTTGAATGGGCTCTCAGGGAGTCAAGGCACCACAGCAGATGCATTCACAGCTGGAAGTTCTTCAGGGCCTGGGAATCCCAAGCCCAATGGCATCTTCTCAGTTGGCAAGCAAAGGAGTATTAGGATGAACCAGGATGTTTTCCTCTTAGCAAACTGAGGTTTCTCAGCAGCAAATATCCCTCTAGAATTTATGCGGATGCCTTAGCTCCTTAATGCAATTGAGAGATGGGAACCACTAAAGGGACAAGGAGAGCCAGTGCTACAGAGGAAAGGCTTGAGGTCTTCTAACTTCACAACGGTGATTCTTAGGCTCAAAGATGCCTCTGTGTGCTGTTTACTGTGATGCCTTTTAGTCCTGACATCCCCCTTCTCAGGTTTCTGGATTAATACGTCCTGGCAGAGAGAAAGCAAACATTTCCTGACAAAGCTGTAACAAATCGGCCACCACCAGGCTTTTATCCTCATTGCCCAGTGTAGAAGAAGGCAGCCTAAGTCTCCAGGATTTAGTCACGTTGCCTGGCACCTATGGAAGCACGTTCAGAATAAAGGAATGACCAACCCCAGGGATGGCCTTTTGCCCCACAGGAGCAAGGGACAGAGAATGGGTAAAAACAAGAACAGCTTAACTAGTCAGTGACTTTAAATCTTAATCTTCTTTAGAAGCCCATATCGATAATAATGGAGCTGGAACCAAAAGAATATTTACTCTTCTTATTGGCCATAGATGTACACTCATCCAAATATGTACCTTCAAGACTGGATTTTGAGCTTTTGTTTGAGAAAAATACTGTACTTAGGGCTGATTCACAAGGTGCTATTGTAAAGACATTCTCAGTTTCTGTCTCTCAAGGACTTTGGCATTATTTCCTCATGTGCAGAGCATCCTGGAACTTGGTACTGGTATACCGAGCATGAAAGCCTTTCTTGTTGATGGTGTCATCCGTGTGGAACTGTATCATCAGCGAATCCCCTGCAGAGTAGATTTCTTCTAATGGCTGAGGAAAGGAGAAAGAAAACCAAGGAACTTTCCATCAGCTAGTCATGACTGCAGCTTAAATGCGGATGAGCAGGACTGTACCCATGGGTATAGGAGAGTCAGTGGCCAGTACTGCCATGCAGTGTTTCTAGCACCAGACTCTCGAGGGCATCTGAATAAGCTCCTTTTCAAAGGAAAACATTATAAATTCTGCTCCAGAGAGCTCCCCGGGCCTTAATTTTCCCAAAATTATCCAAGCCATACCACTTGTTCAGAATCCATTACCTATTAAAGTGCACAGATGGGCCATAGGCACTGTGCTGAGCACCAGGCTCCAAATCTCATCTCACATACCATTTACAAGAACTTTCGGAGACAGGTACTATCTCCATTTTACACCTGAGGAAATTAAGGCTCAATTCTAGGTAGGTCAGCAGGACCTGAGCTTAGGTTGTTCTGACTGAACCATATACCACAGATCATCCAATGCTCTGTGGTTTTGCCATGGTGACACATCTCCCAGGAGACCTAAAGCAAAGACCATTTTACAGACCTATGCCCTGTCCAAGGATAAAAAATGGAACAGAGCTACTGCATTTGTCAGAAAGTTTCTGCCAGGTATCTGTGAACAGGAGCCAGGTTCCGAGGCTGCTGCCTACCGGATCCTGACGGAGCCAAGCAGAGCTTCCTAGTTAGCACACTGCTCGGCCCTCCAAGGGGCTCCTCTTCACAGACCCCAGGGTTTGAAAGGCTTTGTTCAAAGCAGTGCATGGTGTAAGTCACACTTTGTCAATATTTTCTGGAGGGTGAGGGAAGATGCAGGGCAATTATTCAGATATAAATATGACATTATAATTATTCAGATATAAATAGACATATAAATATCAGGTCAAGTTTCTGTTTAAAACTGAGGATTCAGATATGACTCAGGGTAAGTCTTGCCAATGGCAAAGAAGCTTAAGCGATTAGTCCTGAAGGCAGAGAAAAAAGCTGGAGCTCAGTGTCATGGAGCATGACCATGGGGTGACCAGGACAATGTACTGGCTGATTCAAATACATTCTCTGAGGGCCAGGGATTTAGCTCAGTGGTTCCATAGCCTGCCTTGCAAGCACAAGGACCAGAGTTTGATCCCTGGTACAAAAAAATAAAAAAATACATCCTCTGAGTACCAGCTGTATGCCAGACCATGAGTCAGGTGCTGGGGAAATAATGAATAAAACAGGTCCATGCTGATCCCAGGCTGGTGGCGCACGAAAGAGGCATGAATGAGAAAAGTGACAACGACCTAAAATGTAAGTATTTTGTTTCCAGTAAAAGAGTGATATGTAATTTTCATAAGCATCTGGTTTGACTTGGGAAGAGAGTTTTAAATATATGGAATATACAAAAAACATAGTTAAATAACTTTTAAAAGCCTGAAGGCCAAATACAAACGAGAGAGATGCCCTTTTCAAAGTCCTAAAAGGCAAAATGTTCTTCCATAGCTGAATGTAGCCCAAGACCTTCTTGGACTGGTCCCTGGCTACTCGTCAACCTCCTCTCCAAGGATTCCCTTGTTTCTCACTCTGCTCTGGCAGAACTTGGTAGCTACTGGCAGCAAGTGGTAGGAGTAGCTAGAACTCAGACCAGGTTGTCTCATAGCACAACCCATGCTCTGAATCCTTGTATTTTGCCCCCAGCCCTGGCATCCCTGAGACTCACCCCAGAGCCACAGAAGCGGCCAAGCCTGGGTGCTGAACTGTCGTAGCCATCGTAGGCCTCCATGTAGTCATAGCCACAGTCGGCTTCTTCCTCGACTTCAAAGGTCTGGAATATCAACTCCACACCATAGCCGTCCTCCGCCACTATAACCCACTCACAGTGGGCCTGGCTTGGGTAGTTGTTGTCCCCAAACTGGGCATGGGAATAGAGCTCCTTGGTCTGTACTTCGGCCTTCAGCCTGCCCCCACACTCTGGAGTAGAGAAAGAATGGCAGTGTCCGCTCAGCACCAAGAGCCCACAAACCCCCTCACTTGCTTCCCACCATTTTCTCTGTAGAGCCTGTTGTGTGCCCCACCAGAGAGGCCAGGCAACGCCATTAACCGGTCTCAAGAGTGAGCAGTGGCCCTGGCCCCACAGCCACGGTTCCTGCAGTCCCGACAAGCCTCCCCAGGCCACGGTCCAGTGTCCCCATGATGGGCCACATAAGACTTCTGGGAATCCCTGAACATGCTGCTCTTTTCCTCTCCCCACTTAAGGGGAAATGGGGCCAATGGCTGGTCTGCCTGACCGGGTCTCTGGGATGTGGCTGGATCCTGACCACTTCAAACCCTGGAAGTTCTGTAGTAGACAGGCTCTGGTTGACTTGCTGTAACTCCTTCCTGCCAGCAGAGGGTGATAAAGCACACGAGAAATGCAGGTGAGCGCCAAAATTTAGAAACCTGAAAAGCCACTGCTTTGAGACAATTGACTACAGGTCAACTATGAGGTCCCTGCAGGTGTCACAAGCGAGCTCCCCTCAGACTTTAGCCTTGGCTTCTGTTGTTTGTTTGCTTTGCTTTTGGCTTTGTTTTTTTCAGATCAGCCTTGGTCTATACCTCGTTGTGTCTGGGCCCACATGAGTCCACACAGTTAAAATGGATAAATGAGACTTGGATGAGGAAGCACTAGAAATTTAGGAGGCAAATTCTTCCACCCTCAAGTTGCTTCACATCCCTGGAGGGTGACTGATTCTTGCATCCCTGGTTCTTAACATTTCCAAGCCAACAGAGCTGTACCCACTAGCCTGGCCCCATCCCTCTCCAGCTACCAGTTCTTACTCTCACAATAGCTCTGGTCTGGAACCTCTTCCAGGGCTGACCTGTCTTTGGGAAATTTCAGCTTCCTGAGACAGGACAGCAATAGAAGGAGCACAGAGCAGCGCAGGATGACTCCTTTCCTACTGTCCCAGCCGGGGAAGCTGACCTCCAGGCCACATACGTGGCCCTTCACCCTCTCTCTGTCTTCCAACATTGGAAGCACCAGCAGGTCAGGGAAAAGGAAGAGGCAGAGGTTGGGTGTACAGTCCTGGCCCCTGCAGAGCAGCTGTGCCTTCCACATGTCCTGTTGCCAGCCTCCAGGAACCACTCCCTCCTCTTGCTCTCTGGTCCTGGAGAGATAGCATCCTTGTGGTTCCATTTCCCTGGAAGCTGCCCTGTCCTTTATGGTGTCCCCACACCTGGCCCACCCCTTTGCAAATAGTTCCTTTATTAAACCCCAGAAATGCTGACTGAGCGCGCCACCACTTCCTGGTGGGACCCAAAGCTACTTCAGGCACCCACATTCCAATCTCCATCTGCAGGACAAAAGGATGACATCACTCGTCATAGCCTTTAAACTTTTCTGGGGGAAACCGGAAGTCCTCCAGGACCTTAAGAGGATCCAATAAAACTATGAAGGTTTTTGGCTAAGCAGGGGCAAGCTGAACTGTCTGGAGATGCTGGGTGCCATTTTGTTTGGCCTGATTTCTGTTTTCTGGCTCTGGAGAACAATTGGGAGGAAGGGGCTATTAAAAGAGCACAGGGTCCCGTGATCATGGTCTCAGAGTCAGCATCTCAGAAGCTGCATGCATCTTGGGCACAAGGGCTCTGCACCATCTGCTCTAGGATCAAAGAGCCAGCACTGCCACCGTGGGCACCAGTCCCTGGTGACAACCAGCTTTGTAATGGCTAAAGACAGCCATTTTCATTATTGGCCTCCTTCTACTTAACTAGGTAAACACACTATAAGCATATACACTTTCCTCCAAAGGACCCAATGGAGCTACTGACATTTTCAGTGGAGGAAAGTCTAACGGGAAACAAACATTTTTCATTTTCCAGAACTGGTCTTTAGAGGTTGAAAGGAGCTGCTCTTCACCACTCGGTTCCCAGACAGCACAATCACAAATACATTTTTTTAAAGGAAAGAAAGAAATGAAAAGGGCTGCCCGCATTACATTTTGTCAATTAAGGACATCAAAAGAGGACTCTTCTGCCTGTGGCTTCTGATATTTCCTTTTAATCGGGAAACTGTATCACGTGACCTCCCCTTACGCTTCCCAGAAATAGTAGGTAGGAGGCACCCTTCCCCACCTATACCACCTCTGCCTTCAGCCCAGGGCTCAGGCTGGTGCTGTGGCCATACCTGTGCTGTGTGCTGCCTGGAAGCCCTTCCTCTGCACCGAGGCATCGGAGTAGAACCTTAGGAACAGGCTGCTGCCGGAAGCCACCACTGGATCTGGTTTCTTGCTGCCACAGAACCGGCCGAGGATGGGTGCCAGGCTGTCAGGTCCATCGTACATTTCCAGGTGGTCATAGGCACATTCCTGGTGCTGCTCAATCTCAAACTCGTTGAACATCTGAGGATAGAAAAGCAAAAAGTAAGGCAAGGCCTGGCATCAGCAGGGAGAGGAAGAGTCAAGATAGCATCTGGTGGCATCTGTCCAGACAGCTGGGCATGGTGTGGCCATGCTGATGCTTGGCGATGCTGCAGAGAGCGTCTCACTCCGCCTCTTCAGGGTCCCCAGAGAAACACATGAGCTACATGAGCTCTTGCTACGGCAATCACTGCAGAGAGGACATATGGGGCGAGGGCTTAGACGCTTGACCGCCAAGGTCTGTCTTTCTTCTACCTCCCAGTACTAAGAGCCAGAATGCCTGTGTGCTTACCCTGTGCCAGCAGCTGTGCGAAGTGCTTTACAAATAAGCCTCATTTGGTCCTCATGACCCTTTCATGTGCCCAGTCTCTACTTTACAGATCAGGAAACTGAGGCAAGGAGACATAAGATGACGTGCCTGAGGTTACCCACTGGTAGAGCTGGACCATAATCTAGGAGCTGTGGTTTCAGAGCCAGTGATCTAAACCGCTGGCATCCTCAGCAATGGAACATTCTGACATACCTTTTCCACTCCAAGCCTTTGTGGGCATTTTCACACTTAACTCTGCTGATGTGGGGAAGAGGTACTGCTAAGTAGCTACTAGTGTGCAGAAGAGAAACCAAAACCTAAAGAAGCTGACTTGCCAAAGTTCATACAACTACAGGCAGATGGGGCTGAACTTGGCTCCTAGTCAGTCTTCTCCATCTTATCCTCTTTTTGTTGGATGGGGGCGCTAACTAGGTGTTGAACCCAAGACCTATGCTACATACCAGACTCTCTTTTTTTTTTTTTTTTTTTTTTTT